TTGTGCAGGTAAATTACATTTGCCAGCTTCATCTCGATACCTTCTAGGTAATTGCGGACTTCCCTCCCCCTTATAGCTGCCCTTAGATATTAGGGGTACTTCCATCCCAGGATGACAGGAGCTTGGGTTAATGCCTGGCTTCAGCAGACGGGCATCATATTAAACGTCCCCACCAGGTGGATTTGATTTAAGTCAACTCGATGTAAATCATGATTTAAATCACTAGTAAAAAGGCTTGATTTAAATCAACTCGATTGAAATCGTAATTTTTAAAAAGCAACGGTCATCTCTGTCTCGCAGCAGGGGCTCATCCTCTGACCCACTGTTGACTTGCCAACAGTCCCAATATTGCAGAATATACAGCCTCATGCATCATAACTAGGCTCCATTTCCTGCTCAATAAACTAAATTATTAATGTATCTTAAATAGAAAAGTATCTTTGGATAGATTTTTTTTAGTCCAAAAGCATTTTATTAAAATAAATTTGATTTAAATTTTTAAAAAATCCGATTTAATTTTTTTTAAAAAATGATTTTTTTTTAATTTATTTTTTTAAAAAAATCATCAATTTTTATCCACTCTGGTCCCCCACCTTCACACCGTTTCTTGTTCTTTTGCGGCAGGAAAATACGTGGGCAGCCGGCCCATTAAACTGCGCAAGAGCATGTGGAAGGATCGCAACATCGACATTGTGCGCAAGAAACAGAAAGAGAAGAAGAAGCTGGGCCTCAGGTAACGGGACAGCAGTCGCTGGGACTGTGCTTCAGCCATTCACCCAAAGCTGAGGAACTGAGCTCTGGGCCTGCTGGAGAAGATGCAGATTTTGAGAACTTGGGCAGTGGAGAGGGGCTTGGGATAGCACAGTCCCCCTCCCCGGCCTGAGGCTCACATGCATGGAAGCATTGTGTGCTTTGCACCCCGTTCCCCAGACTTAACTGGCTTTCCTGGTTTGATAGTTAAGAAACCACAACTTGTAGAGTCTTCTGGGTGTATTTTGAGGGGAAATAACTTTTGTGCTAAGTCAATAAATTTATGCTTCTTCTTTTTTTTATTATTATATTTAACTTTTGTTATCTTTCCCTTACCTAAAGAATCTTGTTTTCTTGAGGCTACCTTGATTTTCAGACTGGTGGTGGTAAGAATCTGCTTATAGATTTTATATTTCCAGAGACAGACAGTTGTTGGGGAAGTCGAGGGAAAGAGTTTCATGGCCTTTGGAGTCCTGCTTTGTAGGTTTTGCAACAGCAGTTTGGTCAACCCTCTGTAGTAAATAGAATGCTGGACCAAACATGACCAGAACACAACTTTCATATTAATTCTAGAAGCTTACAAAATGTTATTTTCTGGAGCATAGCAGAGCTCTGTTTGAAATTAGGTAGATTTCAATGTGAGCCTGTTCCATGTATTGCTGAAGTCAGACTCCCTTCTCAGAATACTCCGATTACCCCGTAATAGAATGTTTCCTTAGCAATAGCAATAGTATTAGCACTTAGATTTATATACCGCTTCATAGTGCTTTACAGCCCTCTCTAAGCGGTTTACAGAGTCAGCCTGTTGCCCCCAACAATCTGGGTCCTCATTTTACCGACCTCGGAAGGATGGAAGGCGGAGTCAACCTTCAGCCTGGTGAGATTTGATCTGCCAAACTGCTGGCAGCCGGTGATCAGCAGAAGCAGCCTGCAGTACTGCACTCTAACCACTGCGCCACCGTGGCTCTTACTTATTATATGTTAAGCATATTGGTGAGCAATGTTATCTGCAACGTTGAATCATTTTATAAAGACCCTTGGAATCAGGGTGGGTTTGATTTAAATCAAGTCGATTTAAATCACGATTTAAATCACTAGTAAAAAAGGCTTGATTTAAATCAGCTTGATTTAAATCGTAATTTTTAAAGAGAAACTCTCATTTTCATCCTGCAGTGGCTCCTCTTTTGACCCGCTGTTGACTCACTGACAGTCCCAATATTGCAGAATCTGGGTCTACTTAACTGAGCTCCATTTCATGCTGAATAAACTAAATTAATGTATCTTAAATAGAAAACTATCTTTAGATAGATTTTTTACTCCAAAAGCATTTTATTAAAATAAATTTGATGAAAATAAAAAAAATCTGATTTTTTATTTTATTTTAAAAATCATCGATTTTCATCCACCCTGCTTGGAATATTCAACTTGATCAGAATACACCAAGACTATTCTTCCTGGAAAGGTCATACTAGGACTTACCGTATTTTTCAGAGTATAAGACGCAGCTTAGTTTTTGGGGAGGAAAATAGGGGAAAAAAATCTGCCTACCAGGTACTCATCTGGCTAGCGTCCTTGGTCTGGTCTTCTTCAGCACATTAGTTTGCTGGGTTTTATCCCCTGCTTGGGGATAAAAAACAGCTTCTAAGGCACAGCTGAGAGTCCGAGCAAAGCGTGATCGCGCCTCACTAGCGCCTTGTTAAAGCACAGTGGGAGAGTCGAGTCGAGGGAGCAGGCAAAGCTGGGAAGATGCTTCACTCACTAGCGCCTCGATAGGGCTGAAAAAAAGCTGAAAAAAAGAGTATAAGACGCACCCAAATTTTCAGCCTCTTTTAGGGGGGAAAAAGGTGTGTTTATACTCCGGAAAATACTGTAATTCACACATCACACTAAAAGCACAGTCACTGATTTTACAGAACATGCTAATGTAGAATCAGACAAATTGTTTGGAGCTAAGTAAAATGGTGTAAAAGCGGTAGGTTTGTAGTATGCTTGTAGCTTTGGCCAGTTTGCATTGTACTCCAGCAATGTTGAAAAAAAATTCCACAGGTTCTGTAGCCCCTCATTTTTTAGCTGTCCTGTGTTAGCTGTGCTGTTGACTCTGGGCACCCACAGCTTGGCATACCTAGTTAAAAGAATTAGGTGCTGAGTAAGGGTGTAGTTGAAATGGACACAAAAAATGGCGGCAATCCTTCCCCGCCTTCCAAATGAAACTGTGAGGTTGGGGACAGGAAGCGTGCTGAATGCAGACTTGTCCATTTGGTCTGCATCTATCAGAGAAATGGTAGACAATAGAAAATGTTTGTTGTTTTCAGTGAGAAGGGGGAGCTTTTTGAGAGAGGGTGGGAGGGGGGTCAGAAGGGAAGCAGCCTCCCCCCCGCAAGCTGTGGCTGCTGCATTGTTCTTTCTCTTTGTGCTCTGCGTGTCTTAGAGGAGGTGTTTGTATTATCCTAAGGCTGAGCAAACAGGAAAAACAGCCAAAGAGCAGGAAGCAGATGGGAGAAGCTTGGAAAAGCAGGAGCTTTGACCCTAATTGGGGAGGAGATTTATGGGGGCAGGCAGCAGCTGTTCAGACAGATGAAATTCCATTGACCAAACAAATAAGCGAGCAGGAGGTGGAAGGGGTTGAAAGATTACAAAAAGCTGAAAAAAATTCTTTTGGGCTTAAGTAGCTCTTAAAAAAATGTGAAACTGCTTTAGAAGATGCTCAGCTATAGTGAGAGAGGGTATAGCTATATGGTGTGTTTTTTTTTAATAAACAAAACCAGAAAACAGTTCCTGATTTTTGCAAGTCCCCAAATAAGGTGGTTCTTTCCCCCGCAGCCCACATCTCAGCTAAAAGAGGTGGTATCCAGTGGTGAAATCCAAATTCTTTTACTACCGGTTCTGTGGGCGTGGCTTGGTGGGCATGGTTTGGTTTGGTGGACGTGGCAGGGGAAAGATATTGCAAAATCCCCATTCCCACCCCACTCTGGGGCCAGCCAGAAGTGGTATTTGCCAGTTCTCCAAACTGCTCAAAATTTCCACTACCGGTTCTCCAGAACCTGCTGGATTTCACCCCTGGTGGTATCTCTTTTCTTTTAGCAAGCAGTCCGTGAGCAAATTTGAGAGGTTCTTCGTTGTGAAAATTTGGGTCAGATCAGCTTTCTTGACAACAGAGTGCCCACAATTCTCATATTTCTGTACAGTGCAAACACGGACTGCGGTTATGTCTTAAACCAGATCGTGTAAGTCCTCCCAAAATCCCCAGGTAGAGGTTTCTATAACCTTTAGTGCCTTCCTACCAACTGGGATTATATCCTTAAACCAGAATTTCTCAACCTTGGGAACTTGACTTCAACTCCAGTGTTGGCTTGGGAATTCTGGGAGTTGAAGTCCACACATCCTTTGTACGTTCCCCAAATGGAGAAATACTGGTTTAAGTGAAAGGCTTTAGGGAAATAGTTTTGAGGATTAAATCTGAAAGAAGTCTCAAGAATGGATGGATTCTTCTTTTTTTTTTTAGCTTATGGATCCACACCAGCCTTCTCTCTAGTCAGCCCTATGTGTAAGGTATAAAAGTCAGTGAGAGAAGAAATGAAAACACTGGGAAAATTGATGGGAAAATTGATGGGATTTTCTGAGCCATTTCATTTTTCCTTATAGACATTTCATTATCTTTCTTAGTAACCTAGTGGGTTAACTTCAGCATAGGTAAGAATGCCAATCTCACAAAGAGCCAAACCTGAGCTATGTTTATTTTCCATTATCAATTGAAAGCTTACTGGGCCGCGGTGATGCAGTGGTTAGAATGCAGTATTGCAGGTTTAAACTCTGCCCACAGCCTGAAGTTCGATCCTCATCAGCTCAAAGTTGACGCAGCCTTCCATCCTTCCAAGGTTGGTAAAATGAGGACTCAGATTGTTGGGGGGCAATAGGCTGACTCTGTAAACCGCTTAGAGAGGGGCTGTAAAGCCTTGTGAAGCAGTATATAAGTCTAAGTGCAATTGCTATTACGTAGTTCCTCAGTGGCAGCGTCTGCAGCAAACCTTAACGATGCCAAAACGATGTGTCCCAGCATCACAAAAGTCCGCCGTTCCCTCTTTGTGCCCTAACATCTGGCACGAATCCATTTACTTGCAGCATTTGATGATGTTGTACATTGTGGTCCTTGCACTCTCACCGACGTGCACGTTCCCCACATTCCTTCCAGGGTGTTTTTCCGTCCGTCACCCAAGTGTTCCTGTGACTTGCCCATCAAATCCACAGCGCACTTAAATCACAACACAACTTTTAATACACAGTAAACCAGTACAAAACGATAAAAGAGTTCTAGAACAGAAAAGTGGGGGTGTGGTTGCATTGGAGAGGGGAAAATATTCACAAAAAGTTAAGTGCAGTATTGTACATCTCTGTGTTGCAAAAGGTAGTTAAATTGATGCAGATGTGGTTTTGTGGGCTGCAGGCACTATCCTGAGGTTCCATATTCGGGTAGTCCTTAACCATTCATTTAATTACCCAAAGTTACAACAGCACTTAAGTGATTTATTATCTTTTTTTCACGCTTTATAGCCACTGCAGCATCCCCATGGTCACGTGATCAAAATTCAGACACTTGGCAACTGGGATGTATTTATGACGGTTGCAGTGTCATTTGGCGACATTCTGACAAGCAAAAGTCCATGGGGAAGACATCACTCCCTTAATAACCGTGTTACGAACTAAACAACTGCAGTGTGATTCGCTTTACAACCTTAACGGCATGAAAGGGGCAAAACTCACTCGATGATGGTCTTGCTTAGCAACAGGAATTTGGGGCTCAAATTCGTGAGTCGAGGGCAAACCTATACTCTGTATGTTGTAAATATTGAGTCCAAAAGCAGGGGTGTCAAACTCGATTTCATTGAGGGTCGCATCAGGGTTGTGTTTGACCTTGGGGGGGTGGTCAGGGGGGGCATGACCAGCTCAACGTCACTTGTGTCGGGGTCGCCTGGGGAAGCCCGAGTGCTGTGCCAGCAAAAATGGGCTCCTGAGCTCCGTTTTCGGCTGCGACGGCCTCCTGCAACCCTCTGCCAGTGAAAACGGCGCTCGGGAGAGCTGTCTGCAGCCCCCTCCCAAGCTCTGTTTTCACTGGCAGAGGCACCATGGGCTGGTCCCTCGCTGTCCCACCACATGGGGTGGTCCTGTGGGACAGATCTAAGCACCCCTGGGCCTTGAGTTTGACACCCCTGGAGTAAAGGAATATTTTCTGCAGAACAGTCATTCCTTCCACCTGGGCTGGGGTATGTGTGTGTCACTGTATCTTTGGAATGATATAAGTACTTAAAAGTTTGTTTAAATCCTGATTTGTGCACATAGAGAGTGTCCATACATCAAAGTTGCAAAACTTAAGCCGTTTCTTCCACCAGGCAAAACAGTCCTACCTCTCAACGAGTGAATTTTCAGCATTTAAAACTAGAAAAATAGTTCTTTAAACACTGAGGGGAAAGATTTTTTTAAAAGAGAAGCATCATCATTGATAAGAACTATTTAGTAGCAGAGCGATCTGTCTTGGGCAGTGGTGCATTCTCATTAGAGGTTCTACACTCACTGGGGTTTGTCTAGAAGCCATCTAGACAAATGATTTTAGAGAGTCTCTTAAATCAGAGGTCTTCAAACTTGGCAGCTTTAAGACTTGTGGAATTCAGCTCCCAGAAGCTGGCTGGAGAATTCTGGGAGTTGAAGTCCACAAGTCTTAAAGCTGCCAAGTTTGAAGACCTCTGCTCTAAGTGAAATGGGACACACCAGGACACACTGGTACGTGAACCCTTTGCTCCACAGCAGTGTTTCTGAACCTCAGCATCTTTAATTTGTGTGGACTTCAACTCCCAGCATTCCCCAGCCAATGTGCTGGGAAGGGTGAATTCTGGGAGTTGAAGTCCACAAGTCTTAAAGCTACCAAGTTTGAAAACCTCTGCTGTAAGTGAAATGGGACACACCAGGACACACTGGTACGTGAATCCTTTGCTCCACAGCAGTGTTTCTGAACCTCAGCATCTTTAAGTTGTGTGGACTTCAACTTCCAGCATTCCCCAGCCAACATGCTGGGAATGGTGAATTCTGGGAGTTGAAGTCCACGCATTTTAACGCCGCAGCATAGGTTGAGAAATGCTATTCTGTTGGAGCAAGATCCTTTAGTCTCTGTAGACGCAACTGCTCGTTACACCATCGCTACCTGACTGTTTGACTTGATACCCATAGGATCATAGAGTACGATGCTACTGCAGCCTAGAAGTGGTGCATTCCAGTGTGTATAATAATAATACTGAGGTATTCCTATAAATAGAAAGCTAGCACAGTAACCATACTGTTCGTTTTAAATTTGCAGGTAGCTCTTTCTAGGGTTAGGGTTAGGGCCATGTTTTTCCTGTTCAGTCCACCCTACAGCTTCAGTAGTTTATCCGCTTATTGTGCTTCCATTGAGCCATCTGTATTATGAGTGAAAAGAGTCCAGAGTCCGTTCACACACACACACCATTGTCGTCATATGAAAAAGTTCTGAAATTCCAAGGAGAATTAACACTTTATAAGAGCAAACAGAACTATAGTTACTTTTTGCTTCTTTCTTTCCCCAAGAACTTCCAATCTTTGCCAGTCTGGACCAATTGAGATGCATTGGAACAACAATTTCCATAATTCCAAAAGAATAAACGTTTTAACTAGCTAGCTGGGAATTATGGGCCTCTTAGGTCCACACCTCTGGGATGTTCTCGTTTTGAGAAAGCAAGTCTGTTGAATTTGGTCCTTATTTGAAATTGAATTTGGAAGAGTTGGTCTCCAAACTGAAAATGATTCAGAAGGCCCTGCTGAAAACAGCTGCAAGTTTTCCCATTATATCACTAAAGGGACCCATAGAGTATAGGTGGTTGGGGGGGGGGGGAATCAGAAAATCTCCTTAAAATACTTAAGAGAGATACTGGTTTTTAAATTGAGAAAAGTTCCTGGAATTCTTGCTATCCCCCATACGTTTTAATAAATCTGACTAAAGAAAACTCTGAACTACAATTTTTCAGGTTTTGGCAGTTCCCAAAAGCCTTCTAGTACTGCAACTGAAGTATTTTAATGGCTCACAGCAGCACCAGAGGGAATACGTTGGACATTTGGGCTAGACAGGATTTCCACTTCTGAAAAGATTAAAAATGACTGTAATGTAATAGCCAAAGTAATGCTTCTCAACCTTGGCAACTTGAAGATGAGTAGATACCAACTCCCAGAATTCTCCAGTCAGGATGCAAGATGTTAACCAGCATGCTGAGGGGATGAGGGATTGTGGGAGTTGAAGTCCACACAACTTCAAGTTGCTAAGATTGAGGAACCCTAGCCTAAAGTGAGAACCTCATCCTTGCCGCTACTTCATATACAAAGAAATATATCACTCCTGCTTCCGTAATGTACATGGTGTAATACTAGGTGGCGGGTGGGGGTGGGGAATTAAGCAAGCTGAGGCAACTCATCTGTGTCTCCTATAATTCTGAGATCCGGCCTATCTCTGCAAAATTCAGGCGTTGATAGCACAAAATCTGGTTGGTAAAAGTCTTCCACCTTAAGTCCATGAGTGGATTAGAAGATGATCACACAATTATTTTGGTAGCGCAGCAGAACAGTGCCTGCTGGTGGCGGGGAGTGGTACTGCTCTCTTCCCTGCCCTCTTTATTCATGATGGCCACGAATACGTTCAAGATGATACTCCCTGTATCCCAGTTTCTGGGTGTGGTAGGATGTTTGTATAATGAGATCTTCCGGTAGAAGTTCAGGTAGCTCCAGGACTTTCTGGAGATTAGAAGAAAGAGCCCAAGTGGTTGGTAGCCTGCCTGGACACAGGGGGGTTCTGGTACAGGTTTCCCGCTGTGGAATTCCAATACGGGGCAGGTGGGCCAAAAAAACCTGAGGATGAGGCGGGCATCTGCGTGCTATGGCCCAGGCCGAAGCCCACCTTCTGCTGGTGGTAGGGGGGCAGGTAAGGCAGTTCCGTGTGGTGGTATTTGTAAAGGGCTGGCTCACCCGGCTGCCCCTGCTGAGCTTGGTTGATGCCCTGGAAGTCGAACTTGTAGGCGTAGCGTTTGCCGTGCACTTTGGTCATGATGTTCTTGTCGTAGTAGTAGCGCAGCGCCCGGCTCAGCTTGTCATAGTTCATGTTGGGCTTGCTCTTGCGCTCGCCCCAACGTCGCGCCACTTCGTCGGGATCCGTCATCTTGAACTCACCGTTGGTCCCCTCCCAGGTGATGCAGCTGGAATTGTTGCTGTCCGAGAGCAACTCCAGGAGAAATTGCCACAGCTGGATCTGACCGCTACCTGTCGGAGACAGAATGACTCTTTGAGCATCGACTTCCGCTTGTTCCTGGGATGACCAAGACGCTCACACTCCAACCCACCTTCTGCTGGGCCAAGAGAGATCTTGGGGGTGGGGTGGGGATGGGGGAGCTAGTTGGCAACTTTCTCAAGTAGACCAGACAGGTGAACACAACCAGATGAGCTCGTTCTACTTTTATTTTAAGTTCTACATTAACAAAAACCTTGCAAGTCTGAAAGTAGACTTCTCCCGCCGTCTGTCGGTGGGTGAAGTCTCCCAGTCCATTGACTGCTTTTCCAGGCAGAGAGAAGGCATTCCTTCTCCGGCCTGACCTCTGGATGCTAAATGTTCCACCACCACCCCCAGGACGAAAGATGGATGGCTCACCTGGGTTTGCCAAGCGGCTGCTAGTGGGCCCAAGGACTTGGTATGGATCTACTGGGAAGAAGAAGGAAATAAGAGGAACTCGAATTGGATGCAATTGAATGAACGGGGTGCATTGGAGGGGATCCCCTCCCCATATTTGGAAGAGCTCACAAATTCTCTCTCCCAGCCCTATCCTAGTTGCTATGATAGCCCTCTGATTCAGGCTACAATCCATCAGACAAGTTGCAACTGACACAACTGATATCTTATATGGCTCTACCTGCTAGCTTGTCACGCTTGCTTTCTGGGAGCAAGGAGTACAGATAATTAGCTAACCCTTTCCCCTCTCCAGATGAAATGGTACAGGCCAAACATACGATCAAGAAGTGGGTGCATTACTCTCATTGCCATACTTCTGGGTTAGCAGCTAATTTCAAAGCAATTAATTTGCTCTTGAGAGAGAGAGGAGGGGGGGGGAGCACAAACAGAAGCTGTTTTCCTGCATGGCAAGGCATACAAATATTTGCCGGAGCCTTATGCATCGTGCCCCTGGTAAAGGCGGAGGAATGCAGGCTGATGCGAAACGCCAAAGAAATGCAGAAGATGGTGGAGGACAAAGGAGCCAGCGGTATCGGCCTACCAGGTGCCATGCGTGTAGAATCTGGGATCCGGCTCACCGTTTGGATCTGCGGTGGAGAACCTTCAAAGTAGAAGATGAAAATAAGCAGAACTAAGTGGCGGCTGTGATGTCATTTCTTTAGCCCGGGATGTCCCGGTATCCCACTGTTTGGGGGAAGCCAAGCAGGATCAGACCAAGGGTCCCTTCCTTCTACCCACCTGTACATTATAAAGTGTCAAACTCAAGGCCCATGCGCTGGATTCGGCCCATGGGGCCGTCCTGGTATACCCAGTGCAAAGAGGAAAGATCAAGCCAGCGTAGCTTCAGTCTGGTCTACCCAATGTGAAGATGACACACGCCAGTAGTTTGGGGAGAGGTGTCACGCCCACCCAGTTGGCCACACCCACCCAGTTGGCCATTCTGCGTCTTCCCCCCCCCCCAAGGTCAACCACAGCCCTGATGCGGCCCTCAATGAAATTGAATTTGACACCCGTGTTTCAGAGGAACCAGATAAATCCATGTGCAGAAGACAAATGCATTAAGGTGATTGCATTCATGGTCCTCATTAACTGGGCACCGAGTGGGAAATTGCAAATTCCAATTCTGCAAGGAAAGTAGAACCTCAATGGTACAGCAGAGTTTACATGCTTCACTCCAATTTCGGGCTGGTGGTGGTTGATGTGGTTATAAAACCCACCAACCCAGTGTTTCTCAACATTGATAACTTTATGTGTGGACATTGCTGGCTGGGGAATTCTTGAGATTTGAAGTCCACACATGTTAAAAGTTGTCAAGCAGACTATAAACCAATCATATGATACACAGAGAGAGAAACTCTGACTTCCTGACAGCGTTCACACAATACCTTTAATCAGGTCAGTTAAAGACAGAGTGCTTACATTCACACATGCATACTACTTTTTTTTAAAAAAAAATAAATTTATTAATTTTCCATTAATTACATTTCTCAGTGCTTAATAAACATCATGTTATCTGGGTATTTAATTGGCTTAGCAATACAGATTCTATGCATACTATTTTTGAGTAGTGTTAGCTTGCTCATTTGTATCCTAGCACGCTACACAGGCCAAGCCCGTTTCATTAGATTATGGCTCAAAATATTCTGCAAATTAAGGCTGTAGCCTAATTCAGTAATCAAATCACATGTTACGTGATCACAGTTTGTATCATAGAAACAGCCGTTGAACCCAGCGGTGGGATTCAGCTAGTTTGGGCCGGTTCAGGTGAACTGGTTGTGAAATTGCTGGCTGGCCCCGCCCCTTCCAGGAGTCTCCACGTGCCCCGTTTTGGCTCCCAGGTAAGTGCAGGGAGGCCTACTATGCCCAAAACGGGGCATGGGGGGGTCGGTGTGCACCCCCCATGGCCTGTTTTTGCTCCCAGGAGGCTGCAGGGAGGCCTGCTAGGCCCAAAATGCACAGGAGGGTGCCCCCCGCCCCCGTGGCCCATTTTTGCTCCCAGGGGGGTGCAGGAGTCCGTCTGTCACACCCATGGCCATGCCCACCATGCCCACGCCCACCCAGCCAGTCATTAGGGCAGAAAACCAGTTATTAAATTATTTGAATCCCACCACTGGTTGAACCTAACTGCTACCTTGGCAGATTCTCTTTGAAAAACCATCTAAATCCAGTCTCTCTTGAAAAGCACCAATTACACTTCGGACAACTCCAGAACATAGTATGGTTTGATTTTTACCTTCCCCAATATCCAGGCATGCACAGTACAATGATTAGGTCCACACAAGCTACCTAACTCCACTGTAGCCCAGTCTACCAGCTGGTGTGAACCCCGACACAACCTAAGCTCACAGTGGCTTAAACCTTGATCTGGTTCAAGGAACAAACAATAATTGACTGAGTTTGCATAACGAAATCCTGGAATGTGGCTTGCAAATCATGGTAGTCAGCTTGGCACATCAGCAATAGCATAGCAATAGCACATAGATTTATATACCACTTCACAGTGCTTTACAGCCCTCTCTAAGCAGTTTGCAGAGTCAGCCTATCGCCTCCAACAATCTGGGTCCTCATTTTACCGACCTGGGAAGGATGGAAGACTGAGTCAACCTTGAGCCTGGTGAGATTCGGACTGCCAAATTGCAGGCAGCTGGCAGTCAGCAGAAGTAACCTGCAGTACTGCATTCTAACCACTGCTCTTTACACTAAACCAAAGCTAAATAAATCACAGGACGATATAATTCAAGATGTATGAGTGAAATTTGGAGCTATACCTAGAGCCGAGGTGGCGCACTGGTTAGAGTGCTGTACTGCAGCTACTTCAGCTGACTGCTAGTTCAGCAGATCAGCAGATCAAATCTCACCGGCTCAAGGTTGACTCAGCCTTCCATCCTTCTGAGGTGGGTAAAATGAGGACCCAGATTGTTGGGGGCAATATGCTATTTAGTATACTGTTGATTGTTGTAAGCCGCCCAGAGTCCTCGGAGAGTGGGTGGCATAGAAATATGATTAATAAAATAATAAAATAAATAAAAAATAAATACCTTTGGGAGTGGTGTTTACCGTACTGCTGCCCCAGCTGCTTCTTCGGATTTCATCATAGGCAGACTCTACATCAAATTAAGAACAAAGATGACATATTAGGCAAAAAACAACAACAACACCATTTAGATCAGTGTTTCTCAACCTAGGCAACTTTAAGATTGGGTGGACTTCAACTCCCAGAACTTCCCAGTTAAGTTGCAAAGTTGGAGAAACACTGATTTGGATGGAGAAGAAAGATACAACAAGTTCAAAGGCCCGGTTGTCGTTGTGATTGTAAAGCAGGCCATCGTGTGACCTCACTTGATTTTACAATCTTTTTTCCAGTGGTTGTGAAGCCAAACCATTGTTCCCCATGGGGCCTTTTTTTTTTTTTTTTTTGCTGCAAACCAAAAGTAATAAAATGAGTGAAAAACTCCAGGGTGAATGGTTACTAAGAAAGCAAGCAATTATTACCAGCCTAGCCTCACTTCCTCTTCTCACTGTTCTGCCCTTTGAAATGAGTCGGTAAGTTTCTGTTACCCTCTTTCCCCGAAAATAAGATCCAACTGGAAAATAAGCCCTAGCATGATTTTTCAGGATACTCGTAATATACGCTCTACCCCCAAAATAAGCCCCAGTTAAGATCGTCAACCAGACGGAGGCATTTAGTATTGTATTTTCTCCAAAATAAGACCTAACCGGAAAATAAGCCATTATGCGTCTTTTGGAGCAAAAATTAATATAAGACCCGGTTTTGTTTTGGGGAAAACATGGTATGAACTAACCAGATTTGACTTGGACCCTTGGTGGAGGCGGAGGAGGCTGCTGGGTGATCACCGGTGCAGACGGATAAGTGAAAGTGGGACTGCCTGGCAGAAGAAGGAAAGAAAAGAAGAAGGAATGATGAGAAAAGGAAAAAGCTCCATTTTGTTTCAATATCCCTCCCCTTTAAGAAAACAACAACAACACAAAGCCCGATTTGCAGAAAGTTCCAGTGACAGAGTAAATGACCGAACCTGGTGCAAGGTTTTAAAAAATTAATGATAAATCAGGATTATGGAGAACCAGCAGTGTTTTGCTTACAGAAGTAAACGGGTTTTATAATGGGATTCAAACTGAGGCAGTTTGGTGTAGTGGTGAAGACCTAAAAACCAGGAGAGGGTGAGTTTTAGTCCCACCTCAACATCGAAAGCGGTTGAGTGACTTTGGGCCAATCACCAGGCGATGGTGTATTCTAGTCTGGCCTCAGCACTGAAAGCGGTTGAATGACTTTGGGCCAATCACCAGGTGATGGTGAGTTCTAGTCCCACATCAGCATTGAAAGCGGTTGATTGACTTTGGGCTAATCGCTAGGCGACTGAGTTCTAGTCCACCTCAGCATTGAAAGCGGTTGAGTGACTTTGGGTCAATCACCAGGTGATGGTGAGTTCTAGTCCCACCTCAGCATTGAAAGCGGTTGAGTGACTTTGGGCCAATCACCAGGTGATGGTAAGTTCTAGTCCCACATCAGCATTGAAAGTGGTTGATTGACTTTGGGTCAATCACCAGGCGACAGTGAGTTCTAGTCCCACCTCAGCATTGAAAACGGTTGAGTGACTGGGCTAATAACTCTCACACTCTGCCCATGTCACCTCACAAAGTTGTTGTGGGAAAAATGGGAAGAGAAAGGAGTATTAGATATGTTCACCACCTTATATATAAAGTAATGAAGGTGCAGGATTAAAAAAAAAATCTAATAAATTCTCCAAATTTATGTTAGGATTTAGATTCTCACCATGCAGCAGAGACATCTCTGGCATCACGTCACCGGGTTTCCCCACCCCCCCCATCCCTGAGCTTGTTCATGGTCTTACTTTGGCGCAGGTAGGTGAGGTGAGACAGCAAGATTTCGGTGTTGTAAGGTGAAGTGAGGCGTAGGAACCCTTCCTTCCCCAGTTTGCAGAGCTCCTTTCCATCTATGTGCTGAAAGAGGCTGGTTTCGATGTCGGGAAGGCCATACTCCTTCACCGCCCAGTCCAGCCACTGACGGACGTGGTCGCAGCTCCAAACACCCGGATCTGTGAGGGAGAGGAGAGTTTGGAGTAAGAAGCGAAGAGGTCCACGGCCAGGGGACGTAAAGCAGCTCTTGGAAGCTGCTGAGTTGGGGTGCAACAGGGAAGGTGTGAGATCTGGTGGAACAAGACAGAATCTTCAAATGGTGGGGAAGGACCTATCTTCTACCAACCTGCTGGAACAATGACCTTCTCTTCTCTGGATGAAGAAACGGGGGGACTACGTTGATTGGGGTATCCAGTTGAGTAGGACACTTGGGATGTGTCGACCGCCGCTTCCACTTTGTTCCTGCGGGTGGCACTGCATTCCACCGGTGATTGTCTGCTGGGGGAGAGAGAGAGGTAGGTATATAGGAGAAGGAGGGTAGCAGGTCTTCACTCAAGGTGGGCATCTGTGGGGCATCCGCCAAGGCTCCATAGATGTTGTGAAGCCAAGGAGGGACTCCCTTGTAAATCTCCTCTTTTCATCCTATGGACGAGTGTTTCTCAACCTTGGCTACTTTTAAGATATGTGGACTACCACTCCCAGGATTCTGGGTGTTGAAGCCCAGACATCTTAAAAGTTGCCAAGGTTGAGAAACACGGCTGTAGAATCATTCCCCCAAGCCTCAACCTTTGGCAGGAGATGCATTTAGGAGCACCATCTTCTAGATCAATCAAGCCTGCCAACCTGTTTGCCCTGAAGGCAACGTCAATTTCTTTGGGCTGTCCCTCTTGTTCAGTCCAAAATCGAGTGTGGTGGTGTGTTGGGGAAGGTGCTGGACTAGTCTAGAACTTGGGAGGCTGTGATTTTGTCTTCTCTCTTAGGCATGGAAACTGGTTGAGTGTCTCTGGGGCAATCACTCTCAGAGAGGGGCTTTCATGAAAAAAACAAGGCGATTATGGATGCCAATTTGAGTTTTACAAAATAAAGGCAGGATATCAAACCCACAGCTTCAACCTCAAACTGTCTACCGTGGACCTCACCCCGTTCCTAAGAGGTCCGTAAAGGGGGCGTGCATAAGCGCACCAGCGTGCCTACCGTCCCTGTCTTACTGTCTCCATTTATCTATACATACTTCCTTTGTTCATGTTTAGGTTCATACTTATACTTGCTATCTTGTACATGTTTGACAAACAAACATACTTCTAGTGCAATGTTTCCCAACCTCAGCAACTTAAAGCTTTTGTGGATTTCAACTCCCAGAATTCCCCAGCCAGTATGGGGATGGCTGCATGGCTGGCTGGGGAATTCTGGGAGTTGAAGTCCAGTCAGTTTAATGTTTCTGAGGTTGAGAAACATTGATTTAATGGAGTGTTTCTCAACTTCAGCAGCTTGAAGATATGTAAGACTTTAACTCCTGGAATTTCTCAGCCCGCATGTCTGGCTGGGGAATTCTGGGCATTGAAGTCCACCTATTTTCAAGGTCTAATGAAACAAAGAAATAAGTCTGAAAGCTGGATTGCTGCCCTCCAAAGCTGCTAACCTGCTGGAGCAATTGACTTGTTCGTTCTCCTGTTTCACCATATGGCCTCGGCTATTGACCTGGGCTGACCAGGAGGGGTCTTCCAATCCTGGCTCTTCCTTGCCCCCATAATCGTCCACTGGAGACACTTCTGTCTTCAAGAGGTGTGAGGAGGCAAAGGATGGGTCGAAGATGGACTGGTCCTCACTTACAACTGACAGCGCCTCCTGCAGGAGAAGGTAGGGAAGTAACGGGAAAAGACGAGAGCGACGATTAAGAAAAATCAGAGGAGATCTACCACATTGGACTGAAGAGAGATCAAGTCCATTTCCTGATTGAAAGACCCTAAATCCATTCTGATGGTCACATAACATGCAACATCCAACTTAGCGGTATTGTTGTTTAATGGGACAGCATCGCTCGTTTATCACCCTTCCTATGCTGGTTGTCACCTTTAAAGACCTTCATGGCTTGGGACCAGGTTATCTGAGGGACCGTCTTTTGCCGGTCACATCTACCTGACCCATTAGAGTGGGGAGGCAGGGAATGCTGCTAGTCCCATCCCCGAGAGAGATACACCTGGTGGGACCCAGAAGAAGGGCCTTCTCCATGGTGGTCCCCTCTCTCTGGAACATCATCCCCCCAGAGATTAGAATGGCCCCCACTCTAACACTCTTCCAGAAGGCGCTGAAGGCCTGGTTCTGCCAGCAGGCCTGGGGAACCCAGAGCAGGATGGAGTCCATTAAATGGCTCGTGCAATCTGCTGTCGCCGGGGCAGGAAGTGGAGGGTGGATGGGGTGATTTTATTATATTAATCTATTTGATTCTTTTATTAGTTTTATTGTTTTTTAATGTGGTTTTAAATGATGTAAGCCGCCTTGAGTCACCATGGGCAAATAGGCGGTAATATAAATTCAGTAAATGAATTCCTACAACCTACCAAGCCACAAGCAACCCACAATCCCTGTGTGAACCCTGCAGGCTTTTGAATGAAGGATCTGAATTCAGGATTTTAGTTTTAACATCCTGGAGGCCTGAATGGAAAGCACAATCTTTCCATGCAGGAAATCCACACCCGGTTATTCATTTCCGGCCCTGTTCACATAAATGGGAATCAAGAATCAAAGAGTCCGTCGCTTGCATGTTACTAAGAAACCTATCGGCGGGTCCAAACTGACCGACAGATTCCTAGACTGGGTGGACCAAAAAAATAATAATCCTGATTGATCCCAACAAAGAATGTCCTTGGAGCAGACAGCAGAGTTAGGAGATGCCTGCTGTCAATTTCCATTGGTGTTTCTCAATCTTAGCAATATTAAGGCCTCTCTGGACTTCATCTCCCAGAATTCCCCAGCCAGCATGGAGGGGATGGTGAGATCGAAGTTCTGCTTATTATTTTTTTTATCCAGTGCATCTAGAAAACAAGTCAGAGCTTCAGTTGCGTCATTGCCGTTATGAGCTTGGCCACCCTCTTCAAAGGTCCCATCATGTCTGCCATCTTGACTTTTTTTTAAAAAGTGTTTTATTTGTTTTAAAACATTCAATTTTCATTAAACTGTGTGATCTGGGTACAGTTATTTTTAAACAATCATAATATACATATTTGTTGTGGTATTCATCACCATAGTATTGATAAGATAATAATACGATAATATAATAACCATAATACTTAACATCATCTTCTTTAACAACTCTCCACTTTAGCATTTCCTCTTTTTATATCTCCTCCGTTCTAACTTCTGTTTCTGTTGTCTAGCCATTGATAAAATATGTCCCATATCAAAAAAATATTCAGGTTCTTCTTTATCCTTAATAGTAAGAGTTAGTCTATCCATTTCTGCGCATTCTAATATTTTCTTAATGACTTTCCCCCCAGACGGAATTTCATCATTTTTCCATTGTTGTGCAAATACAATTCTAGTTGCCATCTTGACTTTTCTGACCACACCTGGCCTCCAAGGCTGTTATAAGAATGAAACGGAAGGAGCTTCTTACATTACGATCACCTCCTGGCAAGAAAGCTACCTGTGTCTGTTTCGGTAACCTGGATTTCTCTAGTTCAAAACATCAATTCGAACAACAGGGAACAATTCCAGCACGGAAACAGGCAGGTAAGATGCGCAGAAAAATAAACAAACAGCCTCGATAGAAGACAGAAGGACCCAGAGTCACCATAAAGCAGCTTTGAAAGAATTTTAACAAGCGACTCTAACAATGAGAGACCCCCCACCACCACCACTTGGGAGATTATTCTCTAGAAATGCTATTTCTGTCAATTATTTAGAAATTGCTGAAGATTGTGAATATTTCCCCCCTTTTTTTAGAGTGGGTAGGATTCTGGTGGTAGAAGGGGAGAGGGTGCATTGATAAGACCCATAGCAGAAGGCAGTGAATTCTGGAATGAGTTCTTGGCTCATTGGATCATCTTGCAAATTCTGAAAATGAATGGAATGTAGATAGTCTTCGATTTATGACCCACAGCGAGAGCCTATTTTGCCCTCCCTGCCTCTAAACAGGCCGGGCCCAGAGGTGGGTTTCAGCAGGTTCTGACCAGTTCTGGAGAACTGGTAGTGGAAATTTTGAGTAGTTTGGAGAACCGGTAGTAAAAATTCTGATTGGCCCCACCCCCATCTATTCTCTGCCTCCCAAGTCCCAGCTGATCGGGAGGAAATGGGGATTTTGTAGTAAACATCTCCTGGAGTGGGGTGGGAATGGAGATTTTACAGTATCCTTCCCCTGTTATGCCCACCAAACCATGCCCACCAGGCCATGCCACGCCCACCAGGCCACGCCCACACAACCGGTAGTAAAAAAATTTGAAACCCGCCACTGGCCCGGCCTTAAAGGGAACACAGACCTGAATGCAGAAACCTGGGGAATGGGTGACTGTGACGAAGGAGAGAGAAATTGCCTACAGAAAAGAAATTGAACGGGATATAGCTAGTCCTTGACTCGTAACCACAGCTGGGACCAGAACGCTGTTGCTAAGCAATGTGGTTGCTAAGTGAGTTGCACCCGATTTTATGGCTTTTTGCCACAGTCATTAAGGGAATCACACAGGTGTTAAGCAAATCCATCTTCCCTCTTTGACTTTGCTTCTATGGGAAGCTCCCTGGAAAGGTGGCGGGGGGGGGGGGAGATCATGTGACCGTGGGACCTTGCAACCATTGTAAATACATGCTGGTCTCCAAAATCTGGTCACATGACAGTGGGGATGCTGCAACGGTTGGAAGGACTGAGTTTTTTCAGCACCCTTGTAATTTTGACCAGTCATTAAACAAATGGTCTTACATCAAGGACTGCCCGTGGCCTAAAGCTCTGCAGTTTCTTTTATTTCTTTTCCTCTCTTACACTTTTATCTTTCTTTTTGATCTTTCTTTTTTCTTACTTAATATTACATAGCTGACGTTTCCCAGGGCCACACAATGTGATTTTTCACCTCTCTGCCTCGTCTGCTGTTGGGATTCCTGGGCAGTGACACAACTTTGGCACAGGAAATAGCAGGGAGGTGGCAGCTATACAGCTCAGTTGAGAAAGAAAGAAAAGAAAAGAAAAGAGAAAGAAAGAAAAGAAAGAAAGAAAAAGAAAGAAAAAGAAGAAATTCTAGGGAGGGAGGGAGAAAAAGAAAGAGAAAAGAAAGTAAGGAAAGTGAAAGAAAAAGAAAGAAAAAAAGGGAGGAAGAGAGCAGGAGAGAAAGAAAGAAAGGAAGGGCGGGAGGGAGGGAGAAAAAGAAGAAAGAAAAAGGAGGGAGAGAGGGGGAGAGAGAAAAAAAGGGAGGGAGAGGGAGAGAGAAAGAAAGAAAAAAGGGAGGAAAAGAAAGATTCTAGGGAGGGAGAGAGAAAAAAAGAAGGCGAAAAGAAGGAAAGAAAAAAAGAAAAGAGGGAGGTGGGCAGGGGTGAAAGAAAGAAAAAAGGGAGGGAGGGAGAGAGAACGAAAGAAGAGAAAGAAAGAGAAAGAGGGAGGGGAGAGAGAGAAAGAGAAAGAAAAAGGGAGGGAGGGAGGGAGAGAAAGAGAAAGAAAAAGAAAGATTGATTCTACCAGGCATAGGCAATAAAAAGGAATATATTCTGATAAAAGACTTGTAAAGTTAGTCTATTTGATAGGGGAAGAACTGAAGCAAAATATGACGCTGTCCTTGGGGATGGTAAATATGCAACTGTCAGCCATCAGTGGCCTGTCTGAAACATGGCAAGATTCTCCCTGCCAGTGACAATCCTTGAAATAAAACAGGCAACAGCAAGAAACTTCAATTCCGTCATTCAAATCACAGTTAAACGTGCAGGCAGGAGCTCCGTTCCCTTCTGCACCCATCCTTCTGACCTGTAGTGAAATTACGCTACAATAATCCGCCAGAGGAAAAGAATTGCGAGGCCCTTGCTGATAAGGCCAACTCTTTCTCGGTTTTTAAACCACAGAACTGGGAGGTGGCCCTGCTGAAGGCGGAGGCTGCAATCACTGAAGACGCTTAACTCGGTGGCGAAGTCAACTCACTTTCTACGTGCGCACAAAACAGTTATTCCTAAACAAACCCTACAAGGTTGGATTTGCACAACACACTGAGCTGTAAGACGACTAACCCCGAAGGGAAGATGTCATGCACCCATGGAGTTGTGAGGTTTCTAGCTAATCTAGGCGAAGATTTTGTGACCAGAAAGCCAACAGCTCTGGCTTTTGAGATTTTTACATAAAGGTATTTTTTTAAAAAAAGATTTTTTAAAGAGTCTAAAATTTAGGAGAGTTACAATTTATTTATTTATTTTATTTCTATACCGCCCTTCTCCCGAAGGACTCAGGGCGGTGTACAGCCTAATTAAAAACACAGACAAAATTTAAAAATAATTAAAATTATTAAATAATAGGCCCAATTTATAAAACCCCAAATTTAAAATCCCATTTAAAACCAATTAAAATCTTTACATTGATAGCCCAGCCTGGCGGAACAACAAGGTTTTGAGGGCACAGCGAAATACACGGAGATCGGAGATTTTACGAATTTCTGGGGGGAGTTCATTCCACAGGGCTGGGGCTCCCGCAGAGAAGGCCCTCCCCCTGGGTGTCGCCAGCCGACATAATTTGGCCGATAGCACCCTGTGGAGACCCTCTCTGTGGGAGCGAACTGGCCGGTGGGAGGCTACTGGTGGCAGAAGACGGTCTCAAAGGTACCCAGGTCCAATGCCATGGAGCGCTTTAAAGGTGGTAACCAACACCTTGAATCGCACCCGGAAGA